ATGATAGAAAAGAGAAATAAGGGAAAGGATGCTGAGGAAAACTGATAACATAGTTTAAGCGAAAACACAGTTGGTCATGCACCAAAACCGCAATCAGGGCGCAGTACTCTACGGTGAAGCTACCGCGTAGCTTCGTGGTAGAAGAGGCAGGAATGTGGCATGGTCAAGACCTGGCCTCAACCACCGGTAATTTTGTGGTCGGTCGTGGATTGAATATAAACCCGCAGAGATCTCCTTCTCTCTCCCGTCTTCGACTGACTGGGCGCGCAAAAGCTACAGTGCCCAGGACATGTTCTGTGGTTGGATGCAGTATTTGGTTCACCGCCCGAGGATGATGTCAGTCATGACGAAATCGGACTTGGAGTCGGCGAGTGCGCACCGTACACTACAATTATCACTGTCGTAATAATTGTTAGCATTATTATTATTATTATCATTTTCATTATTATTATTATTATTTATTATTATAATCATTATCATTATTATCATTAATATTATAATCATTATCATTAATATTATTATTATTATTATTATTATTATTATTATTATTATTATTATTATTATTATTATTATTATTATTATTATTATTATTATTATTATTATTATTATTATTATTATTATTATTATTATTATTATTTATTATCATAATCATTATCATTGATATTATCATTATTATCATTAATATTATAATCATTATCATTAATATTATAATCATTATCATTGATATTATAATCATTATCATTATTATCATTGATATTATCATTATTATCATTAATATTATAATCATTATCATTATTATCATTAATGTTATCATTATTATCATTGATATTATAATTATTATCCTTAATATTATAATCATTATCATTATTATCATTGATATTATCATTATTATCATTAATGTTATCATTATTATCATTAATGTTATCATTATTATCATTGTTATTATCATTATTATCATTATTATCATTAATATTATAATCATTATCATTAATATTATAATCATTATCATTGATATTATAATTATTATCATTAATGTTATCATTATTATCATTAATGTTATCATTATTATCATTGATATTATCATTATTATCGTTAAGATTATCATTATTATGATGATTTCCCCTGTTACTATTATTACTTTTGTTGTTATAACAATAATAGCAATGGTTTTAATGATCATTATAATGATAATGAGTATGATAATAATACCACATCCCCATTGCAATAGCATACCCATAATTACAATGTGAGATATTTCCGATAACTTTCAAAGCCCTTCCATTTTTTCCTCTTTTCACAATAATTTCTATTACAATAGTTACCTTTTAATTTAGAAATGTTTCGATGGTAAAGCATCCTTCTTCAAGATTCTCAAACGTCGAGGACCTGGCAAATTTAGCGTTTCATATTTCAGCTTTCTTTCATAGTCTGTTTTCTCAAAATGGATACTGCAAATTCTTGCAGTTGCAAAGTTCACTTCTTCCCACATAAAATGACTTTTCTCGACCCTTCCTCCTTTGGAAATCGGCGATAAAGGGCATCCTTAGAACGGTCCCAAATATTGCATCCAACCACTGAACATGTACTGCGGCTTTTGCGCGCGCCAGTCAGTCGTGCGAGCGAAGACGGGAGAGCAAGAGAGATCTCCGCGAGTTTATATTCAATTCACGACCCAAAATTACCCCCAAGCTTTACGCCAAGTGACTTCATGCGCGTCCGGGCGGCCCCTCACGTGGGTGCATACGAATGTGTATGCTCCGTCTGTGAAAGCGACATTTCGTCCAGGACCAGGCCAGCATCATAATATCCTCACCCCATACGAAAGGTATCCTTCCAGGAATCCAAGTCATCAGCGGGAACCAGGACCAACGGGACCACGGCAGCTACCCCAGGATCAAAAGCAGGGTCTGGTGCCACACGCGTAGCAACCGACGTACTGGTTGGGTCGGTGTGCGATAGCGTCCGAGAAAGTCTTCTATATGCGCACGGCTGGTCAGGCATCAGGACTGCAATCAGGGCGAAGGATTTTTCGGGGAAGCTACCGTGTAGCTTCCAGATGCACTTACAAAAAACAGCGGGTGTGCTGTACCTGGCACGCCCGCTTGTGGATCAGATCTTCACGGGGGAAAAGCGACTGCGAAGTGATGGCGCACTCAATGGCGAGGCGGAAGGCGTCCGAGGCGGCAGGCTCGAGCGGGGGCATTGTGAGAGCGTCCACATCGTCTGCGGAAGGATAAGGGTAGCATCTCTCCTCAGGTCATCGGCGGAAACCAGGACAAACAGGACCGTGGCAGCTACTCCAGGATCCAAAACAGGGCCTGGCGCAACACGATGGAAGCCGATGTACTGGTTGGGTAGGTGTCCGGTAGTATCCAAGAGAGTCGTTTATATATATATGAACACGGCTGGTCAGGTATCAAGACCGCAAACAGGGCGCAAGACAGCTCGGGGAAGCTACCGTGTAGCTTCGCAATAGAAGCGGCAGGTATGTGATATGGTCACGAGCCGACCTCAACCAAGTGGCGCTCGAGAATGATAGCAATCCTGGCGAAATCGGCCTTGTGTGTGTGTCGTGCGTTTGTGCGAGTTTATCCGTACGCGCGCGTGTGAAAATATGTGTGTGCGTATGTATGTGCGCTTGTCAGTGCGTGTGTATGTTTGTATGTGTGCGTGTGCATGCGTACGTGTGTATTTAGAATATAATGTATGCGTGAGAGCGCACGTGCGTATGTGTGCAAGTATGCGTGTAAATGTTCATGTTTGCGTGTGAATGTGTGTGTATATGACTGCATGTATGTGTGCATATAGGTGTGCATTTATGCATGTGTGTGTGTGCGCGCGCTCAAGTGTATGTGCGTGTGCATGTATGCATGTGTGTGTGTGGGGGGGGGCGTTTGTGTGTCAGTGCGTGTGTGTGCGTACGTGTGTCCGTGTGTGTTTAGAGTATGTGTGTGCAAGAGAGCGCACGTATGAATGTGTGCATGTATGCGTGTGCATGTGTGTATATGACGGCATGTATGTATACACATATACGTGTGTGTGCATATATGTGTACGTTTATGCATGTATGTGCGTGAGTGTGTGCTTGTGTGTCTGCATGTATGCGTGTGTATGTGCAAGTGCGCGCGCGTGTGCATGCATGCATGAAAATGTGCATGCATTTGTGTGTACATATGTGTTCATGTATGTGTGTACATATATACATGTGTATGTGCACGTGTGTGTGTGTGTGTGTGTGTGTGTCAGTGTGCGTATGTGTGTGTGTATATGCGCGTGTGTGTGTGTCAGTGTGTGTATGTGTGTGTGTATATGCGTGTGTGTGTGTCAGTGTGCGTATGTGTGTGTGTATATACGCGTATGTGTGTATGCATGTAAGTTTGCGCAAGTATGCATGTGTGTATATACGCATGTGTGCATGTATGCATGTGTGTACGTGTATACGTGCGTGCATTTGTGTTTGCGTGTATGCATGTGTGTACGCGTATGCGCGCGGGCGTGTGTGTGCGCATGTATGGGTGTGCGTGTACATGAGTTTGCACGTAAGTGTGTGTGCGTCTATGCATGTGCATGCGCACCTATGTGCATGTATGCGTGTGTGTGTGTGTGTGTGTGTGTGTGTGTGTGCATGTATGCTTGTGTGTGTGCGTGTGTGTGTGTGCATGTATGCATGTGTGAGCGTGTATGCATGTGTGTATGTGTACTTGTACTTGTATGCATGTGTGTATGCGCGTGTGTGTGTGTATCAGTGTGCGTATGTGTATACCTATATGCTTGTGTGTGTGCGAATATGCATGTCTGTGTGCATGCGCGTATGTGCGTGTATGTATGTGCATGCATATGTGTGTGTATGCGTGTGTATTTGTGTATGCGTATGTGTGTGTCTGCGCATGTTTATGCGAGTATGTGTGTGTATGCGTGTATATGCACGTGAGTGTATGTGTGCGTGTATGCGTGTATATGCACGTGAGTGTATGTGTGCGTGTATGCGTGTATATGCACGTGAGTGTATGTGTGCGTGTATACGTGTATATGCACGTGAGTGTATGTGTGCGTGTATGCGTGTATATGCACGCGAGTGTATGTGTGCGTGTATGCGTGTATATGCACGTGAGTGTATGTGTGCGTGTATGGAAGCGTGAGTGTGAGCGAGTATGTATGTGTGTGCGTATTTTTGTGCAGATAAGCATTTGTGTGTGGATATGTAAATGCGTGGCACGTGTGTGTGGTTGTGTATATGTTTGTTGGCGTGTGCATGTATACATGTGTATGCGTGTAGAAGTGCTTGCATGCGTACGTGTGTGCGTGTTTGAATGTGTGCGCGTATGCATATGTGCGAGTATATGTGTGATTGTGTTTGCCTGTGTGTGTACTTGTGTGTTTGAGTGTGTATGCGCGTGTGTGTGTGCAAATGCGTGTATGTGTTTGAGTGCATGTGTATGTGCAAGCATTCATGCGCGCGTTTGTGAATGTATGAGTGTGTGTGTGTGCGTGTGTGTGTGTGTGTGTGTGTGTGTGTGTGTGTGTGTGTGTGTGTGTGTGTGTGTGTGTGTGTGTCTGTGTGTGTGTGTGTATGTGCGTGCGTGCACTAGGGGGGGGGTCATTACTGGCGCCGGAAAAGTTGTTTTGGAATCTCAGTCAAACATGATTTTCAGGAAGAATTTTTTGTTTGTTTTGTAAATACCGGCGAACGCCATTTGGAGTTGACACAAATAATTCTCAATATTCTAAATCCATGTACTTTTTATAGCGTACTATAGACCACCCAAATATAAATATAAAAGAAAAAAAAGAAAAATACAGATCAATCAAAATTTAAAAGTTACAGTCATGAAAATATCCAAATACAATCTTCAATGTAAAAAGAATCGCCTTCAAGATAGGAAACCTCGCCAACTAGAATTAAAAATCCCTTTTTTTCCTTAAAAGTCCTAAAAGGAAAACAAAAAAAAAACATTTCCTGAAAACCGCCTGGGCCGTCGTCGAGCGGGGAGGGGGGGCAG